CGCCGCAGCCGGCCCGCTCCCGCCGCCGCCATCTTGCCGGCCTGCACCTGCGTCGTCAGTTTCGAGCGACCTCGTCGGGAGGGGCCGGACCGGCGAGTCTCTCTGACGTCACCGGAGCTCTGCGCCGGCGCACTCTGGCTTCAGGACTGTGTGCCTTCGGGTCCGGCCTGGGACCACGCCCCCCACGCGTGGGGGGGGGGCGCGGAGCGGGAAAGTCTTCACAGGGCGGGAGGGTTTGTCCTGGGCGTTGGGTCCTGCCTGGGCGCCGGGGAGCTGGAGTTCAGAGCGGTTTGGTAACTTGTCCAAGGGCGTCACCTGTGACCAGAATTTCGCTGGTCTCGGGTGGATCTGGTGCTGGCTGCGGACCTCAGCGGGAGGAGGTCGGACCCGGCGAGGTTCGAGCCCGACGGTTGGTTCGGCCCCCACCGACCTCCCGGGACCCCGCGGGAAGCGAAGCGGCCACAATCCTGCGGCCGAGGGAGGAAGGCAGGAAGCCACCAAAACAATAACCGAGAACGCGAACGCCACGCTTCTGGTTGTACCGATGATTTGTTTTGCATGCCCTGGTTTTAAACCCGTCTGGAGTCATTCTTAAATAGACAGCCGCGAGCCATTTAGGAAACGTGCACGTCAACGCACGACGTTACGAACTTCTAAAGCAAGGCTTATAATATTCGCTTGGGAATATGGTCCCCTAAAGCCGGGAAAATTGCGTGCACTGAACGTCTAGGTAGCGACTGCAGAGGCGGCCGATCGGGAAGCAGCTTTTCCCCGGGAATCCAGCGTTCGATCTTTCCCCAAGGACTTGGACTTTCCTCCATCTATGGGAGCTCGGTAGCTGGGAAACGGAACCACACACTTCAGGCCCCTGCAGGCCTCTGTACGTGATTTTCCAAGAATCACTTTGACCTTCCCAAGATGGCGTAAAGCCCTTTCCTGCAGACATCCCGTTTACTGCACGACTTCCTCTTTTGGCCTCCACTTCCGGTGCAAAGACCCGACCTCTGTCCGAGGCTGTGCCTGAACACACGCTATGTTAAAGAGCTATTTTTTTTCCCCCCTGACTGAGGCCTTTCGAAGTATGTAAACATACTAGGGACCGCATGACATTGGTGATTTCCCAGTGATCCGATCTCCGGCCTCTCTTCAGGCGTCGGGGGCGGGTTTTGGGTCAGGCGCGCGCCGCGGGCAGCCTGCCGTCCGCGGGTCCTCGCTGGAAGGGGAAGGACCCTGGCAGTCGCTGTAGACGCAAGATGGCGACGGCGGCCCATGCTACCGCCGCTGCGGAGCCCGAGGCCGAGCCTAAGGCTGGGCCCGGGGCCGAGGAGGAGGAGGAGGAGGACGCGAACGAAGCCAAGGCGGCCAGGAAGAGAAGCGAAGTGATGACTCTGGAGCTAGCCTGGGACGAGCCGGAGGAAGGCGTGAGCGAGAGCGATGGCGACGGGGAGAACTCTCCCGGGGAGTGGGAGCTGGAGGAAGAGGAGGAGAAGAACCAGCTGGAGATCGAGAGGCTCGAGGAGCAGGTGGGCGCGGGGTGGGGGTACGCGGGGTGCTCGCGCGCTCCCCACGCGGGCCACGCCCCCGTCCCCCCACGCG